GTGCTGAGGTGTCTCTGGGAGTTGCATTTCTGTGCCAGTCACCCGCTGAACGTGGCTGGGCTGACAGCATTGCAGTTGCGTGGCTAGTGAAGACATCAACTCAATGATGAGCGCCCAAATGTCTCCGTTCAGGCTGTGTCTGCCCCCAGAGCCAGATCGTTTGAGGAGAATTAAAACCAATAGGAGATAAAGGTTTCAAAGACTCAATATGTTCCCACATATTTGACTTCTGCAGTGTACTTAGACCCATTCCCTKCATGTGTGCTCTGCTGTCCTCTCCAGAAGAGCGATATTGGCTTCTGTCCCTGTTGAATTCTCCTTTTGGGGCTGTACAGTAGCATGAAGACAAAGTCTTATGACCAGATGGGCTCCTAGAGGCTGCTAAGAGGGACCTTTGGCTGCAGCAGAGCCCTGGGACAGTTGCTACCTTTGCAGTCCTGGATTTCTCATCATCTTACTGGGGGCCCACAGCATAGGCCTGCCACAGCGAATCTGTCCTTCTCACAGGTTGCAATAGTGGCTTATGTTTAATGAGAACAAGAATTGGAGTCCCTCTGTCTTCAGATTCACTTCCAGTCTTTTAATTTTTGCCTTCTGATTGAGGATTGTCTTCTGAGAACACAGTGTTTTGCACGTGCAATGTGAAGTACCTGCTATGATACGATACCTGGAAGATCAGCGGAGCTGTCCTCGTAGAAGAGGGTTATTCAGCTAAGCAAAGGTTATATGTGGYGGCCTGAACTGCCTTGTGAACACAGAGCTTATTCACATCTTGGGAATACCCGTGCATTTAGCTGGTATTTGTGGGGTCASTATATAATCAAAGCTTTGACTGCTGCACCAAATGAAGAATACTCGCAGAGTGAAAAACACTCAATCTGATAAACCACTCAGTGAGGCATAAATTAGCCAAAAGCTGCCAAGTTGATCACCTCCCCAYAAGGTGCTAATAAACTCTCTTTCAGAGCGTGACCTGGTGGGGAACCCAAGTGCTTCTCCTGCGCAGTGTCCCCGCGCGTGCCCAGCACCCGTGTCCGAGCCCGCGGGTGCAGCAGGAACGAGCAGCAGCACTAGCGCTGCTCCCCGCGCGGACAAGGCCGGTGGCAGCGCTTGGGTGTTTGTGCAGCAGCAGCAGCAGCAGCAGCAGCAGGAGCCGGGCGGTGAGGGAAAGCGTCGCCGCATGAGCACGTGCGTGTCGGCTGCGGGCAGCCCCAGGCAGGGCTGAGCCCGCTCGAGCGCGGCTGCGTGGGTGCCGCTGCGAGGCGCTGGAGCCGCGAGCAGGCGCAGAGCCCGGGCGTCGCGCCGCCCGCCCGCGCCCGGCCTGCCTGCAGCTCCCTGCAGAGCGCCGAGCCAGCCGCTCGTGTCCGGAGGCGGGCGGGAATTGAGGCTGCCCATTGGGCCCCCATTGAGGCTTTTTGGGCTCTTTGGGCATCCGAGCGTTGGTTTCTGCACAAGCACCTGCACAGCCGAACACGGGAGACTCTGCATGGTTTGCATAGCTTGTGTCAGCTGAAGCATTACACAGAAAATAACAACTGGCTCCCTACCAGATTAGCTTCTTTCCCTCATCCTTATTGCAGCTCGTTATCTGTGCTGATTGAATTAAAGCTAGACCAAGGCTGTTGATGTGCATTGCCCTTCTGTTCTCATGTGACTGTGTGGAGATGCTTCCCATTCTGCAGTTCTCTGTTTGTGAAGCGGAGAATTACCATGTTCTCCTACTTGATGGAAGGCTGAGAGACACTGGGACTGCAGGGTCTTAACTCTGTGTGTGGAGAGAGGGAGAGAATCACACAGTCTAAGGCACTTGTTTCCCTCTGGGGGCCTTTCCAGGACYTGTGTGCTTTGGGTACAGGTGGTTGGAGACCAGCTCTCACGTCCAGTGAATGTTGTAAAATTACTCGGATGCTCCCCCGGCTTCCACATTGCTAGTGCTGCTGAACGTGCACATGGTTTGRGAGTGATGCTCCCAACTGGAAAAGTGCAACCGTGGCAGAGCCCGCAGGGCACGACAAGCAAAGCTTCGGACCTGGTCCTCTCAAACTGCACGGAGCAGTTCCTGCTCCAGAGGAGGGGAGTTCCTGCAYGGAGAGGGGCTGCCGTCAGAGCCGTGTGGTTCTCCGCTCAGGAGCTCGGTCATTCTCATGGTCTTTTGAACTTTTTAAGTTTTTTATTTATTTATTGTTGTGGGTGCATGTGTGACCTTGCTTTGCCCAGCTCCCAGCATCATCCTCAGCAGCTCCCTGGCAACGTGGCAATGTAAAGGAGTAAATACTGCTTGCTACCCACCCCCAGATGCCAATGTAAGTTAAAAAGCCCAAAGCAGTAAGGCTAACAGTGAAAAGCACGTGGTGTGTGTTCATACGTTTTGTTCTTGGGTGTGCAGTTAGGTGAGATGTTCCCTAACACTGGCTCAACTTTGAGAGCAACAGATTTTAACAAGTCCAGAATTGTATGCCTGTCAGGAAGGTCTTTCTTCTTGAAATTACCCAATAAAGGAATCCTGTGTTGCTCTAGACCTGTAATACAAAGTCTTCATTGTGCGTTACAGCTTCACTTTAGAGGGGGATTGTCCAAATCTGATTTTTTTTTTTTAAGAAAATCAGCTCTGTCATCATTTGAGCTTGGACTGTGATTGTGAAAAGAGTATCCTATCTGCCTCCCAACATATAAATATTCCCTAAATATGTACTACAGCTGGCATGATTCAAACATCATCAGAAAGGATGAACAATGAAACCTAGATTTTACAATATTCATTCTAATCATACATCCTTCACAATATCTGGAATTTCATATTTGTTTGTGTCTAAAGCAGGATGGGTGTGTTTTATTTTGGCATAACTTTAAAATGTCACCAATAATCTTTAAAGTAAACATTGCTCTTATTACTTAAAGACCTAGAAGCTGAAATTAACCTTTCAAAATACCAGTTTTTCACAGTGGTTACTGAAGGTTACTATCCTCCTAACTTCCAGGATTTTATTATTAAAACTAATACATGACAAATGCCAAACAGTGAAAATATAACCTGTAGGTATGAAGTCTGCTCTCCTAATCATTTCGATTTCCCTAGTACTACTGAGGGAAAGCATTTTCAGAGTGCATTTTTCAGTCTTAAATCTACCTTCCTAGAACAGCTCTTAACTTTCTTCTAAGAAAGCGAGCTAAATAAGCTTTAGAAGCCAGTAGAATGGACCTGATGTTAAGATACATGAAAATTTTTGAGTGGCKATCAGTTTTGCTTTCTCTCCTGGTTCTTCCTGGGCTGGGCAGCTCCTCCGTGTGTGTGTGTCTCGGGAGGGTTTTGGTGGGCTGGGAGCTGTGGCCTTTACACCTGCCCTTTCACAGCTAAAGCTTCATGTCCTATCACRGAGTCACGGGATGGTTGAGGTTGGAAGGGACCCCTAGAGATCATCTAGTGCAAGCCCCCGCTCCAGCAGGGACACCTGGAATACAGGGTCTCATCCAGGCAGGTTTTGTTTTGAAGATAAACTGCAGGCTTTGCGGATTATCCGTTGGCACAGTGGTTTGGTGCATCTGCAGCTCCTGCCTGGTGCCAGCCTCTTCCAACTGCTCCTCCTCCCGGCTCCGTGCTCAGCAGTGCTGCCTTCATCGCCAGCAAAGTGCCAGGGCGGAGCCGATACTCCSCTGGCTAGGGAGTATCCTACAGCAGCTCCCAGGCGGGAAGGGGGATGGTGGAAGGAGCAGCTGCAGGGTGAGGTCCCCAGGGGCAACTTCTAGCTCCCTCCATTGATCCTCTGCTGGTGGCTGTAGAGGCAGTAGCGGAACCTGTGGAAGCTCCGTTGTAGCTGGAGCAGAAGGACGAGCAGGATGAAGGTTGTTCATCCTCTGAGGGGCCAAGAGGGTGAGCCTGAAGGGAGACCAAGCGCCCGTGCGGAGGGATTCGTTTTGATGCTCTTCTTGTCCTGCTCTCAGGAGATTTGTCCTGCAGAGTCCCACAGGAGAGGCTGCAACATTCATTTACTTATAAAAGTAACTTTTCTATTTTTGTACGTGTAATTTGCATGGCTTCCCTTTCTTTCTTATACACTAAAACAGTCCACAGTAACTTCTGCTTTAAACTTGAATCCGGAGTACTGAAGAAGAGCGCTCAAGAAGTTGCCTTGCTTTGTGCATGGGCATAGGCCATTGAGATGGCTTGAACGTATATCAGAGGTTGGAAGAGGATAAAATGATCTTGGTGGGTTATTTGGAGTAATTGGGGGGTGGCTTAGTGCTAATTGCAGTAATTGCCGTGCGCTTCTGAAACTCCTGCCTTCTCCTTTACTGCATGCTACAAAGTCACTGTCATTTGATTTCATAAGTAAGTACCAATATTTTTGTGTGTTCTAAAAATGCTTTTGCATTACATGTCCAGTGTTACTCAGGTSTCCTTATGGGTAGTTTTTAAGCTTACTAGAAACTGCTCTCAACTCTGCTTTTTCTCTGGGTAAGCAGGAGGTTGGTCCATCRTGTTTCTGCTTCTTTATTTAGTGGTTCACAAAAATCAAACCTGTGCGTGGAATGTAGGTTACTCAGTATTTCAAAATTTGTGATTTCTCACTCTTTAGCAAAACTGTTAGGAAGTGAGCATTATGTATTTTCCTAGTTTCAGTGTTTGTGCCGACTGTTTCTGAGCCTGCTTTTTATCTTCCCATCTGTAACGGAGGTGGAATCAGGAAGAGGTTTTCTGGTATAAACTGTTCAACATTTGCAAAAGATTTGAATCCTCCCAGGGCTTTTAAACTTGCTAGGGCTTTTTGGATCATGCCCTGTGGTGGATGCCTCTTGCTCTGCCGGGGAAACTGGCTCGCGGGTGTTTATTGTCCCCTGCCGTACTGCGTGCTGCGCTGCTAGCGCCTGCCGAGCGTTCGCCGGTTCAAGTTTTACTTTGCTTTCTCACCGGGTCAATTGCATTTCCAGCACCCTGCAAGTGTGTGTAGGTGTTGTTGACATGTTGATTTATGAACTTCCTGTTTTTAAAATGTTATATGCAGGGGGCTCTGCCTGGATATGAGGTGTTGAAGGGAAGAAGAGTGTAACGCTTGGCCGTCCACCTTGCGCACATAACCATACGGAATGGAGACCAAGGAAGAGAAGAAGGACCGAAGGCAGGGCTATTTTGCTCGGTAAGATCAAGGTTTTATTACAACACTGATTAAAATATGAAACTCATCACTCTTTTTTCTCATGAGGCTTTATAATTTTTAAAGCATGTATAAAAATAACTCGCCTATGYATTATGAACCCAGGGAGAGCTCGCTTTGTTCTTGTTCCTAGGGTGAGAGTGGTGATTTACTCTCTTGGAGTAACAGTTTGAATTATAAGTGTTACAAATGATACAAACTCTTCCTGCGTAGAGAATTGCACTGAATTTGAGCTCCTGGCATCCAGTTTATAAATATACATATCATACAAACATATCTAAACAAAAAGTTTATCTGATTTCAAAGTAAAACACAGACTGAGTAGAGTAGTATCTCACAAGAGAGATAAGCGAGTTTAGAAAAAAAAGTGATAATGGGCTAAGTTGTCTAGATTTTTATCATCTTTATAGATAAAGCCAGTAATTTTTGCTTGTTTGTCTTTCTGTCAATCATTTCAATCATTTGGAATTAGCAGTTCATGGTGTTTTCATAATAATTTGTCTTTGTTAAATCAGCATTTTTGTAGTCATCTTTGAGCTCTGATGTGCAAGTGGAACCAAAGCTCACTGACTGTCTGCACAAGGGCAGAAGGGGAAGCTTAGTCTAGAAAAGCTTCTTTGGCTGTTTTTAACATGAAATTCAAAAATAGAGCCTGCAGCATTGAGAAGGAACCACATGCCCTCTCACTCTGTACTAAACAATATATAAAGCTTCACTACAACACTAGTGTATGTGCGTTACAGACCTCTAGAGAGGTAAGTGCCTACCTAAGAAAAGTAGTGAGGGGAAAAGCTGGAGTACTTCTCCAGTTCAGTTCAGGATGTCATGATGGGTAAAGACTTGAAAGTTTTGTGGTGAAGGACATCGGTTAATGGCAGGTGGCTTGTTTTTTATTTGAAGAAATGTTACTGTTGATGGAAAGAAATAGGGTTTTATATTTGAGAAAGAGTAAAAACAAAAGCACTTGTAGCAGAGGAGGTATCAAGTAGGGTACACCTGGAGAGATTGTGCTAAGGAACAAGTAATTTCCTTGTAAGGAAGAGCTGCTGAGCAGCAATCCTTCGGCAAAGCAGTCTGCTAAGCAAACTGGAAGCATCTCAGAAGGCTTTCAGCAAAGTGGCTCTTGACATTTTGTTTAACTTGTTTTCACAGACTTCGCCTTATCTTTGGCTCCTGTGCTCCTGTGACATTCCCAGGGGCACGTGTCCTGTGCAGGCGCAGGGCGCTGGGCGGGAGCCCTGACCCCAGCACTTACCTGCTCTGCACCTCTGAGCGACCAACGCTCCTTCCCTCCTGGCTTGTGTCTTGTCTCCTTTACCTTTAGGCTGTAAATTTGAAATGCAGCCCCTGCTCTAAGCAGAGCTGTTGATGGTTTCTGCAAGAATGCTGCTAGAGACCTGCGAGTGCTGTTGTAATAGACCCTGAGGTAGGTCTGCAGACACCTTGGCCAGCTCACATTCCCTTCTGTTGTCTGTTTGTGCGCTCTAGGACAGAAGTGGAGCCAAATTTACAGTTTCCTGGTTTTTAGCCTAGTATCCAAACGCCAGCCAGCTTCCTCTAGCAGACAGGTGTCCAAACAGCTTGCAGATAAGCACGCTGACACCCTACAAATATCATGCAAGTAACTGAAAATAGTAGCAATGCAAAGGCACTTCTAACAGAGCCCCTAAGGGGTCTTTAAGCTTTTTAAAAATTAGCTTTCTGCTAGATGTGRGCAAAAGTTTCAAACTTAGCTGCCTGATTTTGGCACAGTTAAATATTTTAGAAGTTTGAACATTTGGGTTTGATAATTTTGGCCCTCGCTAACTTTATTTTGTGTAGTTCTTCAAATATTTTAGTCCTGTCAACCTAGTCTCTCTCTTTTTTTAAGCCAGGAGCAACTTTAGTTGATTCTACTTCCATTATTACTCCTTTCATTACTGCTTTTTCCCTTACCTGTTTTAACTTTCATGTTTTCTGAGCTTAGGATAATAGTAATATTTACAAAATCTAAATTTATAGGACRAAGTTTTTCTCCCACTGATGTTGATGTGTTACTTCTACTTCTGATCAAATTAAGGAGAAAAATCAGGTATTTTTGCTTCTGGTAGAAGACTACTGCTTGCCAGAAGAGAGAATGGAAAAAAGCTTCCTTTCCTTGATAGACTAAACCATGCTCCTTGTCTGGAGAAGAGGGGGAAGGGGCTCTGCTCTGCTGAGAACTGGGATCCCGCTTAGATTAGATTGGAAAGGACAAAATTGTATATTCAGTGCTGCTGAAGTAAAGTGTTCTGCAGTTAACTTGTGGGCTGTATTAATGAAAACATGTGAGTTTTAATAGAAAACTTCACATAAGGAGAAATATTATTCTAGTATTAACAAGGAGAAAAAAAAMCCCAGAAAACTGGGCAATGAGTGCACCTGCTGGAGTTTTACTTTGAACCTGCGATATTCTTTTCAGCTCTTTCTCTTAAGCTGCTGCTACCAGAAAGCTGAGTGTGCTGTCAGGAGAGCCAGGGAGCGCGTGGGCGCTGGTAGCAGGACAAGCAGCCCCTGCCTGTCCTGCTGGCATCCAAACCCTCTGGCATCCAGCTGACGTCCCCTTAGAAGGCAGCGCTGGATCCTCACGCTAATGCCCTTCTAGAAGGCCCTGGGTAGGTTGGACACATGCTGCCTGGTGGATCGTGGTGCAGGCAATCGAAAGGCGCACCGTGGGGGTGCCCAAATGGAGAGGTTGCCCCTGCAGCAATGACCTACTGGCAGAGCAGCTCCGGCATTGCTGGGGAGGGAGCCAAATCATCATGGAATGGCTGTCTGCATCCCCTTCCCCCAACTCCAGTAGGGTGTTTCAAGCTCTTACCCTTGTGTTCTGTCTAGGCTTCCCCTATAGAAGAAATTTCCCTGCCATCCTGTCTCTCCACTTGAGCTCTTCGTGCCTCACTTTTCTCCCGTAGAAGAACAGGACTCTTCTCAGGTCTCCACCTCTCTTCCTGGGAAGTGAATCTGAAATAAAACCTTTTCCATCCTTTTCTTTTTCTAACCAAATGCTCCTCTACCTTGTGTGTGTTGTGGTAAGGGTTTATTTTTGCCTGAATGGGCTGGCAGCTGATTTAGCTTGAAACTTTTCAAATAGATATGTCTGCAAAACTTTTTTTTTTTTAAGACCAGTTTAAATTCCTTGTGCAGATAAGATGTTACAGCTCGTGGGAGTTTCAACAGGCAAGAAGTAAGAATATAAGAGTTAACATGCAAGCATAAGTGTCTCTTATGCAAGAAGCCCTTATCTGTAATTGCTGCTCCTATTTGAAAATTATTCTGTGTAGTTTGTTTTTTTTTTTGTTTTTTTTTTTTTCCCTAATTCTTCAAACCTTGTTTCCAGGCTCTTCTGTTTACTTCTGTGTCAGTAGCTTCAAAATGGACCAATATTACTGCAGCTGTTGCAAAGAACTCTGTCTCCTCTTGCTCTGAAGTCTGTCCTGGTACCCAGCAAGTCAGAAAATAAATGGTACAGTGTGCTGAAGATGTACAGTGGCACATCTGTGTGTATTAGATACCCCACTTACTGTTGCTTGGCTGTGACATTTGGTGCCTTTTATTGTGGCTGTGCTCCCCTATACCTTGATACAGCGTGTTCTTTTCCCTTATCTGTGCTTTCTTTATCTTCCTCACGTTCTTGCAGGATGGAGAACCTCTCTGCCTTTCCCCTGTCTGTGATGCAGGTTCTCCATTGCAGCACAAACTCAGTGATAATATTGTGTGAGTTCGGGGGGAATTCCAGCCTGCTGGCGTGTGTAACTTGAGATGGCATTATGCAAAATATAACTTCTGGTAAATAAAAATTACTGAAACTTAGAAATTACTGAAAATAATACTGATTTTTGGCGTAGAGAAGAAGAGCATGAAAGTGATTAATTAACAAAGTAACTGCCACAATAACAGTGCTGAAGAACATTTTCATTAGTAAAAAGGCTTGACAAAACAACGTCCCCTTCCAAACTTGGTGTCCCTTCTAGTTATGTATTCCAGTAATACTGATTGTTGCTGTGGAAACCCAGCTCCTGTCAAGTCAGAAACTGTTTTAAAAACAAGTTTAAAATAAATACCTACTGAAAAATCAAATAAATTTTAGAAGAAATTACCCAAATGAGTAATGTGTCTTATGGAAAGAATTGCCTTGGACATAAAYTGATAGGCTGTAAATTCAGTGTACCAGACTAAAACTGGAATTATTTTGCATAGATAGCTCTGCAGTACTGGATATATTTGGACAAGATGTTCTAAGAGATGAGAAATCCCAAGGGAAGCATTTGATGGGTAGGTTTCTGAGARGATGACAAACAGGCTTTTTGAAGTTCTTGGTATCTCTTAACTTTCCTCATTGTGAGTTGGTCAGTGTTTCCTGGGCTTCATATGATCTATTGTCACAATGTCAAGTAGCTCTCAGCCACTGTCTTACCAGAGAACAACAAATAAGTAAATGCTTTATTTGAGGAAAAAGAAAGATTAGACTTGACAAATAGACTTGAGATTCCTACATTAATGTGTTGATAATTAAGGACAATATTTAACTTCTCCATTTTTTGATGTTCTTAATTGTCTTAATTGTCTGCGTATTTTAGTTTGCAGATGATATAAGGGTCTGGAATACGCTCCAAAGTCCATTTGAGTATGCAGGACTCCCATTAGCTCCCACTTTACCTAGTTGAAACCTGAAGCCAGTTGTCAAACCTAATATTCGTCTCATTCTGCCATTACAATGTGAATATTTGAGGAAAATAAATCATTTTACAACATGTTTTAATGTAATTTAAATTTGTGGCTTTGATACTTAAGCTTACCTTCATGCAGGTTAAGATTTGTATATTAAACCAAAGACTTATGAAGATACAGATCACTGTTTGGTACAGTTACCACTAGACATTTCTGTTTTCTGTTATTTACTTTTTTTATTACCTAAAAGAAATAAACTGTACAACTAATTAAACAGAGTGTTAAAAAGACAT